TCAAAATCAGTGAAGCTATGTCAGTCAGGACAGGGCCACATTTGACACTATTTGTAGCCAAAGCACTCAGCTAGCCACAGAAATGCTTTAGTAGCCAAAGCAAAGCCACCATAAGGCAACTGTCTTCGAACTCTATCTCCCCCAGTCCCGGAGCACCCTGGGAGAGATATCACGCTAGGAGAGAGCTCTGTTTACAAAGAATATGACAAACCATCCTAGACCCTTTAGGCACAATATAGCAGAGGTTAAACATAAAGTTATTTTTAAAACAAAGGCAGACACAGAAGACAAACAGATTTAGTTTCTGCACTGCAGGGCAGATGCTTCAGACTCTGTCCAGCCGGTTAATTCATCTGTGAGTGTTACTTAATGTACATCCTCCTCAGCCTGCGGTTGCTTCTTCAGAATTCAAGTCCTAGTTCTTGCCTCCTATCTGTTGTCTGTCTTGGTCACCATCAGACACCTCAAGGGACATCAGGAGGGCAGTTGATTCAAGCCCTCTCTAGGGAGGAAAATTAATGGCTCTGATGAACTGAGGAATTGTTCTTTATCTTTGTTAGACAGTTAAGTATGAAACTGCAACCATGACCATACAACACATCCTGGAAAGCCTCTTCCATAGTCCCAAATTCTGGTAATTCCAAACAAAGTTTGGGAGAGGATGCTAATCACCAGTGTTTAAAACATCTATCCTTCCATTTCTGAATTTAAGCATATTAATTCACTTTTAAATACTTATTTTTATTAACTATCCCAATTCAAAAGGGATAGTGGCTGACCATCACTCCTTATTGTGGAATTTTTGGATTTGAATTCAGAGCACTTATCCAAGCATCCAAGATATGGATTTAGGTGGCTCCACTGAGAATCACAGAGTAAACCCAACCTGACTGCCCAAACACAGCGAGCAGCTTCCCTGTGTAACCGATATTGGCAGAGTGCACTCAAGAGAATCACCTTTCAAGGTCAATTTGCTATCAAGTTCAATTTATTTTATGGGCTTCTAAGAGCGGACCCTGATACTGTGAACACCAGGTAACCGTGCTGCCTTCTAGGTTTTATTTCTTTTTAACTGGCTTACATTTTCTTCCCTAAAATCCTCTCATAGAGGTAGCTAAGTAAAAGACAGTTAGTTACTCCACATACAGAATGTTACCTACATAAACACTGGGGATATACAGCAATAGTCACCCTTCCTAGCAGTCAGCAAATGGTGAAGTCTGAGACTATAAAACATGCATTCTTCTTCAGATGTGGTTATCAGTAATATGAAAGATTAAAAGAAATACCAGCTCAATATTAAAAGTTGCCAGGCCTTTAGGATGCATAGCAAGTGTGAACTAGAGCCTCTTATTCGCAAAAGTCTGAAAATTGGGGGTTTACCTAGAACCCCAAAATTGTATAGGTGATGTGTTTTCTCTAGTATTACAGGACTTGTGTTAATCCACAGTGTAATTGAATGTATTTATGCTACCATAAATCTTTTTCCCCACTCAGGAACACGGAAAACTTGTTCTGTAGCAAATAACATACTTGTTGTCTATATCAGATACGTACTGCAAAGAAGAGTGCTTTTAAGAGGACATCCATTTTAATTTCGTCAAAGACACTGGTTAAAATCAGAGGCAGAATTGACCATTGGTATAAATCTTTCCGACTACTTCATGATTTGCTGTAATTTTTATTGTATTAGAGGGCCATTCTACCCAGATGTACTGTTATTTCAGAATACCGGGTTCTATTTACAAGAACAACACTCCTGATCCCCAAGGGCCAGTCTCATGGCTGTCATTTCTGCACTAGATTGAACTTATTTATTCATAACCAGCTATAAAGCTGCCCTGCTGGATTTGCTCAAAGAGTAGCAGCAGACAGGCATTTGGTATACAGCAGTTGCATACAGCAGCAGCACCCCTGAAAAAGAGAACAATTCTGGTTTTGAACTCCCTCTGATTTCAACCAGGGAGAAGCAAGGCATTCTGTAAGCCAAAGGCTGAGGGGCTGGGGAGCCAGAGGAGGCTGCTGCCCCTGCACAGTCTTCCACAGCTCTGAAGTGAGGAGGGAGGGTGTAAGACTGCCAGTTCCAAGTACAAGCTCAAAGAAGGGGTTTTACTTTAAAAAATATACAAGGCACCAAAAATATCCACCCTTTGGATATTTCAAAAGGGCCTTCAGTGCTTTTAATGCCTTGAGAGAGAATGCAAGGGAGAAGACACTACACACAGTTTCTCAGGAGGTCAAAAACCGCACTTTTACTGGCATAAGTTTAAAGGGTAACATTAACCAAAATAAAGCATTCCACAAAACATTGACTTAGCACATGCTAACGCAAAGAACTTAGCAAAATCCAACCCATCCAGCTCTAAGTTTCCCAAAATATCAAGAAAGGAGACTAACAGAAGAAGAAGTAAAGAAAGAGAGAGAAAAGATTTATAGCTACCACCCAGAGTCTCATGCAATTCCAGCTTCCACGTGACCAGATGGTAGGGTCTGAACACATGGAGACCACGTCTTTGGTTTTATTTGCTCTGGCTCCCCTGTGGCCACCCCTCCATGTGGGACTTCTGGTCCACTGGCCACTCTGGAGGCTCTGGGATGGGGTGAGGGGCAGTGCTTCTAGTGTGCCAGCCATTCCGGGGCTGGGTTAGGGGCTCTAGGGTGTGGTGTGGGGCAGTGCTCTTGGTGTCCAGTGGCTGACAGCTGCTCCAGGGCTGCCCAAGGAGGCTCCAAGGGGCTGGGGTATGGTACGGGATAAGGTACTACCTCACCTTTGTGAAATTCGACCTGTTCCTTCCCTTCCCCCCCCACCCCCCAACTTGAGTTGGTCCAAGTCAATAATTAATATAATAATACAGTGTCTCGCCTGAGAAACCAGCCTGTTCTATCATGTCCAAAAGCCATCCTGGCATCCACAGCAGCTCCTCGTTTGATTTCTTAGCTCTCTTCTGTTGTATCAATTGATAGTCTATTTTGGAAAGAAACTATAAACACTTACTGAAACAATTTTATCAGTGTGGAGGTAAATTGAAGATAGCAAATAAGCCCAAGGCACAGATGTCTGTAAATTGCAAGTTGCAACAGCTGGATGTTTTAAGAGTCCAAGAGTCCACGATCCAATCCACTATGGCAGGTCCTGTGTCATACTCAGTGCTCTCTGATAGCGACCACGGAGATGAGAAAGAAACACCTCTACCAGTTTGATTTTCAAAGGCAATTTTGAGGTTTTCTAGGGCTTGCTGTTTATTTTTAACTCTGCTTTTTTCATAGAAACGGAACTCAGATATCTGGACATCTGCTTTTCTGTAACCGTCTGCTTATAATACATTTGTTGCTAATATGGTGAATGAAGTGGAGAATTTTAAAAAGCCCTTTATTATTTCTGCTTTAGAAGAGTGGTGAGCTCTGAAAACTTTGTTAATTGACATTTTTTAATTTTTTTTTTCAAGACAAGGAAATCCCCCATACTCATCAGGGGAAAGTTCCCCTTTATTTCCATACTGCAAACAAAACACATCTCAGGTAACACTTCGTTATTTGACTAAGTAAACATGCCAACATTTCAAAACAGCTCAAAAAATTCCCCTTCCTGAGCGCTGAATGAGCTCCTACACCATACAGTGGCAATATAGATGTGGGAAGAAAATTTTAAACACATTATTTAAAAAAAGAAACTGCTAGCTCTTAGCATCTTAGGACATACCCTTAATTAGATTATTTGGAATTATTCTAATTTAGTTTTTAGTGAAAATAAATTTTCTACCCGTAGTTTCTCATTGTCAAACCAGAGGAAAGTACAAAGACAGAAGGTGCTAACAAGCTCCGAGTTAAAGATACCTAAATACCTCTTACTGACAGTTTCTCCAGAAAATGCTATTAGTGATGTCACACATACTACATCAAGTATCCCAAGAAATAATCATAACTCAAACAGCAACCTTAGTAAACTGAAAACTTTTTCATTTTGCACAATTTCATAAAAATTTTCTCTCTTAACAGGAAAGGTCTGTTACATATCAAAAAGAAGACCAGAAGATCCATAATATGTCACATAGTGGGGATTTCCGGGTTTGATTTTTAAGAAATGCTACACGTTAAAATAAAAATCCCTATTGTCTTAATCATGCATGACTGACATGTAATGCACCTGTGAATCTGGACCATAGTGGCCTTCAAACAGCATATAATCTCTGAAATCATTTAAAATACAAACCATATATGATGAACTTCTCTAGCCCATGGCACCCTTAAGAATTGGATTGCCTCTCCTCATTCTGACAAAGTTGTACCTTTATATACTGGCCAAAATTTGAAAAAATGTGACAAAGTCCATTAACTAGAGTAAACGAGATCTCTAAGTTTTAAAAGTATGTTGTAAAGATGTATTGCAAAGCACAACAGAGCCAAGGCAGTAGTCATCATTACTGATTAAATAAGCCCAGGTATCAAAATTATGAAATGCCACGGCTTCACCTTTTGAGTTACTGTATGGAACTGCTGCAAATGGAAAACAAAACACAGAAATTAAATGCCTCAAGGTGTGGAAGGACTTTTTTTTTAAAAAAAAAGCATCAGCAAATGACTGGGGTGGAGTGGGCACACTCACAAAGTTGTGCATTAGAAAAGTAAAAATCTTTGCTCAACCTAAAAATCACTGCTCAGAGAAGTTTGTTTGCTGTGTTTAGGCACTTTATCATCTTCAGACAACCATGTACCTCTCACAACACGTACCCATTGTTCAGTGAAAAGCAATTATTTATAAACTAGCATATTTTTAGGATCCTGTCTATAGCACTCGCTGGGGCCTTTCTTAAAGCCTCTCCAATCGAGCAGGAGGCTGCCAAGCATTCTCAAGCAGACAAGGAGCTGCATGCAAGGCCAGCACTGGTATTTTGATGCAATCACTTCCCCACTGATATTGCTAAGCCATCTCTCTCCCAGCTGAGAAAAGTTAAGCAATGTGTTTTTAAAACAGTGGCTGTGAGGAGCCTTTGTTTGCATACCTGTTTCATCAGGTGAGCTTGGTGAGGCACTGTCCTGGGACAAGGTAGTCCAGCTGGAGTCCTCATCACTTGGGGCCAGGTTTTGAATCCTATGGAGGGCACAATCTGTTTTGGCCCCAGTTTTTGGGTGATCCTTCTTAGTCTCAGGGCTTGATGACACTGTGGCAACCTGGCCATCCTCTGGGCTTGGCAGCTTGTTTTGTTTCCGGGGCAGGACTTCCCCATTGACAATAACAGTAGAAGCCTGGCTGTTGCTTTGTGCAGACTTATCCTCCATCGCAACAAAACCCTGCTCAAGCTCTCTAGCTGATGTCTCTAGATCCGCATAGTAATTCAGGAAGCTCTTGGTCCTCCTTGGCTGCAAAGGTAATATTTCACAGCCAGAGGAATCCTGTGGGATCGGCTCTTTGCCTTCAAACTTCTCAGAAGTTACACTTACGCCTGCAGTGGTACTGAGGTTTTTGTTGGGATCCTGCTGTCCCTGCTCTGCAGCTTTCCTGAGCTGGTTTTCTCCATTCTTCACCAGCTTTATATTGGCAGAGCTGTTCCCCAGAAGGGGCTGAGCTGCTGGATCGGAAAGACCCATGGCTGTCTGAATGTTAGTCAGTGCATATTTTTTCCTGCATTTCGGAGGAGTGCTGTTCTTGGTCTCTGTGTGCCTAATTTCTGCATTCAGGAGTTCGTTATGAGAGGAGCGCAGGTTGAGGGTGTTCGGCGGGGTGGCGGGGCTGTTGCGGTTCACAACGTCCGTCGTGCTGCCGCTTGCCATAAACACTGCCAACGTGTCCACACCAGAATCGACTGGAAAAGCAAAAGAAACAGTCATGAAACACATTCATTATATACACTATTTTGCTAGGGCTTCTGGTAAAGGGATGTAGCACTTTACGTAACTGTTTTACAGGAAGAAAATTACCACGACCTAAGTGGGTAAGAGAATAGACAAAAGCTTAGCTTATTTAATAAGGAAAAACAGAGGCAGAAAAAATTACAGAGAGATCATCAGGACCACGAAGCTGAGAGAAAGCAGAAAGCTTGACCCTATACAAGACAGTTTTAGGGCAGATTTTACATGTCTGATTCTGTTGCAGGCAGGCTCTGGGACAGCAGAGGTGCCCTTTGCCTTCCAGGCAAATGCCTGGAATTCCAGATATCATCCATACCATAATTTCATTTTAGTATTTCACCTCTACCTCTGATGAGAAGAGAAAGAACTCAAGTGCTCATCATTAGGAAGCAGAAAATTTGAGAAATTTTAAGCAGACTGAAGACAGATGCTGCTCCTTTTTCATCTTAGAGTAGTACTGTTACGGTTAAGCTTGACTGGCTGGTCAGTTGTTGACTCTTAAAACCTGCATTTTCTCTGCTATTTGTCTGTCTTTCTCTCCCCTACTTCCCCTGCCCTTTTTTTTTTTTTTTGAGGAGGAGGAGGAAGGAAGTAAAGGGTCAGGGCATACGAGTAGAAGATTGGTGTATTTGATTTCTAGATCGAGGGGGTGAGGGGGGCAAAATATCCTTCTGCAATTTGATCAACTTTAAAAAAAAGAGCTGCTCCAGAGATGGCTCACCATTTCTACAGCTCACAAAGTTCAAGCTTAAGGATAAAGCATCCATCCTAGGGCAAAGTACATGAACTCCACCATTAAATAATACCATTCTTTTGTCTACCTGTAGACAAGTTTCTGATTTTTGATAGGTAGGGGCATAGATCACATTATGAAAAAACAATAAGTTTATTCAGGGAACAGATTTTTAGACTATTAAAAATGATCAAAATACATACATTTTTTTAAATTATAATTTGTTCTTGTACTGTCTATTTCTAGCTTCCACTAATCTGCACGAGTACTCCCTGAACATCTCAATTTAAATACTGTAGCAATCACTGTTGTTTGATTTCTGGCAACCAAATTAGAGGCCAATTAATAAATCACTCCTATCTGTCACAACATGAAACACTCTTTCTGTTGTTCCTAATTCTCAGATATCACTGACTGCTTATGTTGCACATAAAAACATATCTGGGGCTTATCCAGGAAGGAAAAGCTGTAATTTGAGCTAGTCAGATCATTCCAGCTGAGTTGTGCTGCATCTTTGTATATTTGATACATGACAGAACCAACTGCTGTACAGATTTACAAGAGACTAAATATATGGGTTTTAAAAGAACATATACATAAACAGAGTGATAAGGAGGATTTCACAACATTACCTAAATGCAGGCATAGTTGCTAGCATTCCCTCTTTTTTGATGTGCTGTCAAAGCTGCTCACTTTCAAACATCACTCTGGTTCATTTAAAACCAAGCGGATCAATTAATTAAACCCTTTGTTCCCTGAATCACCCAACTAGAACAACTTCTAAAACTTGTTAAAAACAGAATTTAAATTAAATTTTACAAATTTTCATGTTTGTCCATTTCTCAAGCCCCGGTCAGTCAGTCTAAACCAATAGCAAATTCTTCAGAAATCAGATCACCCCAAGCACACTGTGCAAAAGTCATCAGCTTAGGTAACAGTTTACGAACATCCTATGGACAATTTCAACTTTAGACACAAGAGACTTAGAAATACAACTATTACAAAATTCAAAGGCACTTTATAAATGACAAATGAACAACTTCTCAGACAAACACATCATTTACACATAACTCTCTGGATCTTACCTAAAACCAACCAGGTCTAATGCAAGCAAGGTCACGTCTGATCATACATAATGTTACCAAAGAACATGTTTTACATGAAATGTACTCTGTATACAGACTGGTTCCTTTGGACTTTTTCTGAATCAGTTAAAAGTCTGACAATGTGAAAGTCACATAATAGAATAAAGTAATAGGACGAGATGATTTCTACCAACCACTTGACCTTTAAAACTTATGGAATTGCACAGTATCTAGGGATTTCACCAGATTATATTTTACTTTATGCTTCAGCAAATCAAAACAAGCATTTACATTTTTCACCAATAAATACAACTGCCACAATATGGAACAAGACTGAATTTTATTCTTCTCCTTTGTTACAAGTGAGCTACTTCATGCAATGTTTGACACTATTTTTATGACTAAACAAATTTCTTAAAAAATAATCTTCCTAGATAAAGCTTAAGTATTTGCCTGCCAGTTTATCTTTAGACAGTCCCCTGCTGTTATCATTTTACTGATCAAAAATAGTGTTAAGAATAAGCCCCTAGAAACGTTGCAACAAAATGTATTATGTTTTATTAATCTGCTTGATAAAGGTACTCCATTGACTTAAAATGAACATTGGCACATTGACCAATGACTGAGACAAAGACCTAAGGAGTCTTTGCAACCCATACAGTGTTTGTGAGTTGGGTGTTAAGATGGGTTGGTGTATGACCATAAACAGAAAAATGTCAAAATCAATCTCTTACTAGACACTATCTCCTCTCCTGACCCCATTTCAAGTAATCCATTGATCAAATCATCATGATCAGACGATCAATGAACATACAAACAGCAGCACAAGGCGTGCACAGAGTGGAACAGGCTGTTCTCTCAAGGGCCAAGAGCCTGCTCGCTGGCTGTCACCCTGCACTGCCAGCCAGCCTCTGGAATGCACACAGCCAGCTTCCCTCTGCTCGTGGAAGGAGACACAGAGGTGAGAAAAAGAGCGGGGGAAAGAGAAAAAGAGGCAAAAAGAGAACACGAAATACAGATGGGAAAGGGCAGGTCTTGCATCTCAAGGGTAGAAGTTGCTACCAGACTAGGACTAAGTAAAGTGCTGGAAAACGTTGGAGTGCAAGAAAACACTTAAGTGCACTGAAGAAAACCTAGACTGCATAGTAGAACAGTGTAAGGAAGAAGAGCAATATCCTGTCCCTCCTCCTCTATACAGGACATAATGATGCTCAAAACACATCACTTTTCCCAGAGGAAGCACATCCCAACTTTCTAATTAAAAACGTCAAGAAAATGCAAATTCTTCACATACCTGCCATTTCAAGCCTGAAATTCTAATCACTGACTTCCCAAATCTTTTATTTTTTCTCTCCCCCTGACCCTGCCTCCTTTGCTCAGGGTACCTAACTCAGTCTGGTGCTGTGCCTCTCACAGCTAGCCAACACCGTGTGCCAGGGCTCCTGCACCCGGGACTGCCACAGGCAGACTCCACACCCCCCCCTCAGGCAGCTCTTTGTGTTGCCTGGCCACCAGCAAGGATAATGCTACTGGCACAGGGCACCACATTTTCAACTCCTCTGCCTTCTGCTGAAAAGAAAACACAAATAGACAACCAGGCCAGGAATCACTGTGTCGATACATATATCTCAACTGAAGTGGGTAAACATCTGTAAGTTCTGAGTGAGTAAAAGTAGGGTATTATACTACAAAATATCAGACTCTGGCGAAAAACTAACAGTAATTAGGACATTGTCATTACTGGGAATAATAACATTATTAAATTGTTGGTGCTTCAAGACAGCAGTTAGGTAGAAGATCTGTCATAGCAATTCATTAAGAGTTTTAACTTGCTAACGTTTTAGAAGAAATCGCAGTCTCAACTGCATACTTCTAATATTTAGAAACTTACCTAGAGATATAGATTAATATATTTTTACCATTATAATGTGTTTAACATAGACTAGTGCCAATTTTCTAAGCATCATAATAATACAAATAATGCCATTACCTCAATAGCTTTTATTGATGTTTTTCAATTTTGTTGTGTTTACCGTTTAATGACTTTTTTGCATTGTATTGTCTACAGGAAGTTTTTAAAAAGCTGAATAGAGAATTTATTCAAAAAGGCACTGTTAAGAAGAAAAGAAAGTGCTTGCTCTTTTTTGTGTATAAGTGAGAAATGAAAGTGAAATATGGGCCTGAAAAGAAGAAAAATAAGAGGAAAGTTTCACATATTTGCATAGCAGAATCTTTTAAAGGGCATCTGACCTGGAAGTACTTCTGACATGGCTCACGGGGCGTTCAGCAATGCATCAGGAAATAGATTATAATTTGAAATCTGAAAAGAGGGATCATTTAAGAATTAAAACCAAAGGAAAACACAAAAGAAAAATACCACATTTCAGAAGCTCCTGAGAGATGTTAAGCATTCTAAACAAAGCCCACAACATTACAGTGAAGATCTTTTAAGATTTCAATGATATTTGACAGTCATTAAAAGTGTGGGAGAGGCTAGTCTACAGCAACAAGAACATGTAATTAAAAATAACTATTATATTTTTGTTAATGTACACTTTACTTGGAGAACAAGTTCAAAACTATTCTCCAGTTTTAATCAACATACTGTAGTAAAAACTTCAATACATTAGAAAATATGAGGTTTTTCCCAATTACCCCGCTACAGCTTACTCAGGAAACCACAGCAGCATTGGTAAAAGTAAACAAAGCAATAAGGGAAGTTCACATGAAAATCTGCAGAATGAGATCCAGCATATAAACCTAAGAAGCATAGTCTGCAGGGTTGATCCCACAGGAGGGAATCATAAAAAGAAAGCTAAGCAGTAAGTTCCTGTATGGGACCTTTCCTGGTCATCTTCTTATAAGTAAACATTTTGCCTTTAAGTCTCTGTTTTGGGTATGAATGACACATAGAGTGGGAAATAAAGTATTTCTATAATAATAGAAACTTTTTCATAAAGCAGATTTTCTTTCTGCAAGGGTATCTGTTGAGTACAAAACATTTAACGACAAATTTGTGCCTTGAAGTTACAGCCTCAGGTCTTATATGCTTTGACTCTAGTTAAAGCCTAAAGCAGCTGGAGAGAATGCCTTCATTATACAAGGATTAATGCTCAACACTAGCTAACTCCCTTCA